GCCAGTCATAAAAAAAACAGGATTCGAAACCATGACAGCAAGGAGGTTTAAATCTAGTCACATGAGATATGAGGCCCCATCATGGGCCGTGAGTTTAATCACACTCGGGTCAAATTGCCCTCCTGGTCTTTTGCACTATATGGAATTCACCCATTCTTGTATGGAAAGCTGACTGTCCGAGCAAGGTTTCCTGAGCACTTTATCTACCAGACGCACTTAACTGCTATGTGCTTTCGACAGCAAGGAAAAAGTTTAGGCATAACCAATTTCACAGTCACTTCGCCTACGAGGCTTTGTCCAGAAGTTTGTAACTATGAGGCAGTCGTTGGCGATAATATTAACAATGGATTAAGTGGTTTGCTGATGTTTAGGGCGAGTTTCTTTTTTCGCAATCAAAGTTGCCGTTTGATAGTTTGCTGTATAGGGATCACCAGACCTTATTAGCACAGAGATTTCTTTTCAGTGGCATTACCAACTGAACTTTTAAGGTATTTTGAGTAGTCGTGTTGAGGCGGGACTACAGCCAGGTCTTAGACCGCCGAGACCATCTGGGTTTTCCACGGTCAGCACATACTCTCGCCAGTACGCCAGCGGCTGACAGAGGTCGCTTTCAGTCGGCGCTGTCTGTAGAGTGAGGAAGTTCTTCAAAATCGGTCCTGTTTGTGAGGCCGTAACTGGCCTTGGCGGCACCATGACCGTAGGGATGCAAAAGAAATTTTGGTCATGTACGATTTCCGGTGCGTGGTTGTGAACTGGAGGAGCTTTTGGCACCAGACAGGGTCATCTCACTGAACCACTTGGAGGAGTGCTTGCGAAGACAGCCTTAAGGTGGCTTTGCAAACAAATTTTTCTCCTGCTGTTCTATAAGACGTGAACGCAGTCCCGTGCCTACGAAAATTCCGTCAGCTGCATTAGTTTCATATGACGGTTTACGCTGACACGGTCTATTGCTCGATCGATTCCTCCAACCCTTTTAATCCTATATTGAATTTGAATCGTTCGTCGGTTAACGTACTGTTATCGGTTTTCCAGCCATGTCAGCTTGCAACGGGCGACATTTGTCAGCCTTTGCCCCTGGTCGTTCTTGTGACTTCGCTCGTTAGCACCCCCTCCCTCCCCCAAACTCTGCAAATCATATTTCTCGTGTCATTAGTGACAATTTAGTCTTATCATCAAGTAGGCTTGCATTCTCTCTATCGACACGCTAGCAATTCGGACATACTTTGTTCCACCTACGCCTATTTATCATTTCTGGTGCAGCACCTAGTTTTTGCATGGAGATAACCTCCTCTTTCTCGTTGCGGTAATTAGGAGTATTTTTGGCTTTCATTATAACTTGCTCAATCGCCATCACTGTACACATTTTTGTCAATCAATTTTGTCCAATTCGTGCACAGACTGGACATCCAGGCCCTCCCGTTTCAACCGTGTAGCACAAGTAGTGAGTGAAACAATTCATTCGTGGCTTGTCTGATTGGAGTGGATGTTAATTACTGATTACTCTTTATTTTCAATCAAAAAATACTCCCCATGACCTTGATGCAGCTGGAGAAAGTTCAAAATTCGAGTCAGGGTGGACACGAGTGGTTTGTATATAGGGGTATGTTAGGCAAGTAAGTTGGATTTCAGTCCTCGTACGATTGTGTCCTTACGCGTTAAGCAGCTGGTGATAAATTCGCGTCATTTCTTTTGGTTTTGCGCGCTTTACCCGCTATTATCGGAAATACAGGAAGAATAGTCCACTACATGTCTACACATCCCAGTGACGTCTTGGAACACACCTTTTGCTTCATAAGCTTTAGACCCATCTTTGAGGTATCAGTATCAGTATATTGAGGGATGCGTAGGAAAAATTCCTTTGAGTG